ACTAATGAATGTTAAAGGGATTGGTAGATTTGAAAGCATGTGAAGGTCGAGTATAAGAGTGGGATTGAACTATAATAAGGCATGGCTAACGTTTTTGAGTAGAGTTCGATAATATCGCATCCTAGAACTGCCAACTTGGACATCGATTCTATCTGATTTATCTGATGCTTTGCTTCTGAATCCCCACCTTCAAACCTCTCCTTCAGCTTATGTCTACTTGTTTGCTTGAGGCAAGCAAAGACTAAGTTTGGGGGAGTTGATATGTCTATAAATTGCATGTTTAACACATCCTTTCATCACCATTTTGAGTCTAGTTTCATCCATCTTTCATAGCATTCACCATCATTTTTGTACATTTTGCATCTTTAGTCGAGTCTAGGACTAGTCTTGCATACATTCTGCATTCTGGAGTTGTTTCAGGTGTTTTGGAGCTATTGGTGCTCAGAAAGAGGGAAAACAGAACAGAAAGTCACACTTCCACCAACATACTCGATCACAAGTAGCAGAGAAGGAAGCAGTCAGCTCAGCAGTCCATCCAGACACTTCCACTCGATCGTAGAGGAGACCAGGCAGTCCATTCTGCCAGATATACTCGACCGCAGAGGAGAGGAGGCAGTCAATTCTACAATTCTACTCTATCGCAGAGGCGACCAGGCAGTCCACTTTGCCAGTCCACCAGTTATACTCGATCGTAGAGGAGAAGAACCAGTCCATCCTGACAGCTGACACACTTACTCGATCACAGAGGCCAAGAAGCAGCCCAGACCATTTTGTCAACCAACCTACTCGACCACCACCTCGACCCTCTGATCAATCCGCACTCAACCAGACAACCTGAGCATCGGAAAGAGAAGAGAAGAGAAGGCCCATTGAAGCCCATTCGAAGCCCATTAGAAGCCCATCAGGAAGCCCACTTTGAGCCGACACTCTTGATCACGCCGTCCATGGGCCGTTAAGTGGGCTTGAAGCCCGCTTTCTTATCTTAGTATAAATAAGTCTCTAACGGTTTCGCCCTGGGACATGCACTTTTTAGACACGAATTTCGCACTATTATTCAGCAGCCGCTTTTCATTCCTACAACTTTGTATTTCGATTTTTCTTCTAAGTTATTCAGATTTTGCTTTCATTTACTTGTTCATCTTTTGTTTCTATGTTATTGTCTTTAAGCATGTTGTCTGAGTAGTGATTAGGATTTCTGAGGATGAGATAGACTAGTTATGGAACCCCTGGTCGAATATGTTGGTTAAGTGTAGATTTATTGAATCCCTTCTGGATTAGTTGTGTTTACTGCTTATTCCTTTCTGATCAACTGGAATCCGATCCCAAACGTTCCAGCGCCCAGAAGGCGTTTAATGGAACGTTGGATCTACTAATTCCAGTGATAATCGTCTCTATCCCAAGGGATTGTCCGTTTAGAGCGGTTATTGGCTTTAACAGTCGGTTCTTATTGCCTGCTTAGTTAGAGATCGTTAATGGGAATTAGGTCTGTGTCTAGCTATGCTTGAGGATTTCTATCACGGGAGTGAATTAATCTGTTGTTGAACATGTTGTCTAGGGATAGCTTAATTGAGATTTGTTAACCAACTGAATTGATCAGGGAGACCACGCTATTGAATTTTAGTATTTTTCTGTTTTCAACCATTCTAGTAGATCACACCAGTCTACTAACAATGAGACTTCGTGATAGAGTAAACTGGTCCATTTCTGCATTTTCACACTCTCTCATCCTGTTGTACTCGATCACAGGGTCCCTTCTGCCAGTCGACCCTGCGATAGAGTATATCAGTCATTTCTGTGACTTTTTATTGTTTTCTACATCAACAGTAGGACTGTTAGAAAACCAACCAAATTCTGCTTGGCTTGACTTAGCAACTTGTGATCATATCACATCTGTCTGCATCACACCCATTTGGATTGACACCTAAAATACTACAACGACAGGATAGTGTTTTAGGATAATTGACCATAAAAACATACTATCAGGATGCAACATGAAGACTTTCCGAGAGGTCACCCATCCAAGTACTACTCTCGCCCAAGCACGCTTAACTGCAGAGTTCTGATGGGATCCGGTGCTTTAGTGCTGGTATGATCGCATCCGTTACTACATGCAATGCAATCGTATCTATTCTTTTTTGAAGAATTTATGATCCATTTGCCGTGGGTCCCACCAGCTATGTAGGAATACCCTATCTTGTTTATAAGAGCTTTGATACATGCAAAATATTCGAAAACAATTTCCGAACATATAATTTTCGCCCCGTAATATTGCAAAGATCACTAAAAGGCCCGAAAAGGTATCTTAAGGTCAAAATTTGGAGTAGAAAAAAAAACCAATAGAAGAATTCCATTTTCCTTCCTCATTCATCGGAGTGCTCTTGTTGGGCTTTCCGAAAAAGTATCACATGCCAAGTTTGGCCTCACGGTCTAAAAGTTATACAATCATACATTTTTATCAAAGAAAAAAGAGAAAAACCGAAAAAAAGAGGGATGCAACACGAAGACTTTCCGAGAGGTCACTCATCCTAGTACTACTCTCGCCCAAGCACGCTTAACTGCAGAGTTCGGATGGGATCTGGTGCATTAATGCTAGTATGATCGCATCTGTTACTACATGCAATGTAATCGTATCTATTCTTTTTTAAGACTTTATGATCCATTTGCCGTGGGTCCCACCAGCTATTTAGGAATACCCTATCTTGTTTATAAGAGCTTTGATACATGTAAAATATTCGAAAACAATGTCCGAACATATAATTTTCGCCCCGTAATATAGCAAAGATCACGAAAAGGCCCAAAAAATACAGTAATGTCAAAATTTAGAGTAGAAAAAAAAACTAATAGAAGAATTCCATTGTCTTTCCTCATTCATTGGAGAGCTCTCTTTGGGCTTTCCGAAAAGGTATCACATGCCAGGTTTGTCTAACGGTCTAAAATTTATAGAGTCATACATTTTTAACAAAAAAAATAGAGAAAAACCAAAAAAAAAGAGAGATGCAACACGAAGACTTTCTGAGAGGTCACCCATCCTACTACTACTCTCGCCCAAGCACGCTTAACTGCAGAGTTCTGATGGGATCCGGTACATTAATGCTGGTATGATCGCATCCGTTACTACATGCAATGCAATCGTATATATTTTGTTTTGAAGACTTTATGATCCATTTACCGTGGGTCCAACCAGCTGTGTAGGAATACCCTATCTTGTTTATAAGAGCTTTGATACATGAAAAATATTGGAAAACAATGTCTGAACATATAATTTTCGCCCCGTAATTTAGCAAAGATCACAAAAAAGCTTTAAAAAGTACATTAAGGTCAAAATATGGAGTAGAAACAAAACAAATAGAAGAATTTCATTTTGCTTCCTCATTCATCAAAGAGCTCTCTTACGGCTTTCCGAAAAGGTATCACATGCCAAGTTTGGCCTGACGGTCTAAAAGTTATAGAGTCATACATTTTTAACAAACAAGATAGAGAAAAACCAAAAAAAAGAGGGCTGCAACACGAGGACTTTCCGAGATGTCACCCATCCTAGTACTACTCTCGCCCAAGCACGCTTAACTTGAGAGTTCTGATGGGATCCGGTGCATTAATGCTGGTATGATCGCATCCGTTACTACATGCAATGCAATCGTATCTATTATTTTTTGAAGACTTTGTGATCCATTTGCCGTGGGTCCCACCAGCTATGTAGGAATACCCTATCTTCTTTATAAGAGCTTTGATACATGAAAAATATTCAAAAAGAATTTCCGAACATATAATTTTCGCCCCGTAATATAGCAAAGATCACAAAAAGGCCTGAAAAGTACATTATGGTCAAAAATTTGGAGTAGAAAAAAAACAAATAGAAGAATTCCATTGTGCTTCCTCATTCATCGGAGAGCTCTCTTAGGGCTTTCCGAAAAGGTATCCAATGCCAAGTTTGGCCTCACGGTCTAAAATTTATAGAGTTGTACATTTTTAACACAAAAAAATGAAAAAAACCGGAAACAAAAAGAGGGATGCAACACGAGGACTTTCCAGGAGGTCACCCATCCTAGTACTACTCTCGCCCAAGCACACTTAAGTGCGGAGTTCTGATGGGATCCGGTGCATTAGTGCTGGTATGATCGCATCTATTACTACATGCAATGCAATCGTATCTATTCTTTTTTAAAGACTTTATGATCCATTTGCCGTGGGCCCTACCAGCTATCTAGGAATATCCTATCTTGTTTATAAGAGCTTTGATACATGCAAAATATTGGAAAACAATGTTCGAACATATAATTTTCGCCTCGTAATATAGCAAAGATCACGAAAAAGCCCGAAAAAGAACATTAAGGTCAAAATTAAGAGTAGAAAAAAAAAACCAAAAGAATAATTCCATTGTCTTTCCTCATTCATTGGAGAGCTCTCTTTGGGCTTTCCGAAAAAGTATCACATGCAAAGTTTGGCCTCACGGTCAAAAATTTATAGAGTCATACATTTTTAACAAAAAAAATAGAGAAAAACCGAAAAAAAAGAGGGATGCAACACGAATACTTTCCGAGAGATCACCCATCCTAGTACTACTCTCGTCCAAGCACGCTTAACTGCAGAGTTCTGATGGGATCCGGTGCATTAATGCTGGTATGATCGCATCTGTTACTACATGCAATGCAATAGTATCTATTCTTTTTTGAAGTCTTTATGATCCATTTGTCGTGGGTCCCACCAGCTATGTAGGAATACTCTATCTAGTTTATAAGAGCTTTGATACATGCAAAATATTTGAAAACAATATCCGAACATATAATTTTTGCCCCGTAATAAAGCAAAGATCACGAAAAGGCCTGAAAAAGTACATTAAGATCAAAATTTGGATTAGAAAAAAAAACAATAGAAGAATTCCATTGTGCTCCCTCATTCATCGGAGAGCTCTCTTTGGACTTTCCGAAAATGTATCATATGTCAAGTTTGGCCTCACGGTCTAAAAGTTATAGAGTCATACATTTTAAACAAAACAAAAAAGAGGGATGCAACACGAGGACTTTCCTAGAGGTCACCCATCTTATTACAACTCACGCCCAAGCACGCTTAACTGTGGAGTTCTGATGGGATCCGGTGCATTAGTGTTGGTATGATCGCATTTGTTACTACATGCAATGCAATCATATCTATTCTTTTTTGAAGACTTTATGATCCATTTGCCGTGGGTCCCACTAGCTATGTAGGAATATCCTATCTTGTTTATAAGAGCTTTGATACATGCAAAATATTGGAAAACAATGTCCGAACATATAATTTTCGCCCCGTAATATAGCAAAGATCACGGAAAGGCCCGAAAAAGTACATTAAGGTCAAAATTTGGAGTAGAAAAAAAAACAATAGAAGAATTCCATTTTCCTTCCTCATTAATTGGATAGCTCTCTTTGGGCTTTCCGAAAAGGTATCACATGCCAAGTTTGGCCTCACGGTCTAAAAGTTATAGAGTCATATATTTTTAACAAAACAAAAAGGAGAAAAACCGAGAAAAAAGAGGGAGGCAGGTGAATAACAAAGCGGATAAGATAACATGCAATCAAATGGATTAATGATTCCTAAGGATGGGGTAATCGAATAGCGTGGTCTCCTTAATCTATTCAGGCGGTTGACAAAACTTCACAGAAGCTATCCCTAGACAACAAGTTCAACAAAAGATTACTTCACTACCATGACATGAATCCTCAAGCAGAGCTAAACACTGACCTAATCACCATTAGCAATCTCTAACTAAGTAGGCAATATCAAATCAACTTGTTAAAGCCAATACCCTCTCTACACGACAAATACCTTGGGATAGAGCCTAATATCTCTGGAATTAATAGATCCAACATTCCACCGAACACCTTTTGAGTGCGGGAATGTCTGGATTCGTATTCCAATTGATTAGAAAGGAATAAGCAATAAGCGCAACTAATCCAAAAGGGATTCTAGTATTCTAAACTCAACCACCTAAAACGACCAAGTAAAGCACAACTACTCTATCCCATGCTCAGAAATACGGTTCACTACTCAGACATAATAAAAGACAATAGCAAAGCAATTATTGAAAGCATGATAATAAAAATGATAAAGACTTATACGAAAAATCAATATTGAATACTTGAAAGTGAAATACAAAGTCGCAGGAGAAACACTACGACGAAAACGAGTTTAAGGTAAAAGATAGATTAAGGTCGGATGGATGGATGGATGCCCTAGGGAAAACCCTTAGAGGCAGTTTATATAAGCGAAAATATGAATCAAATAAGGAAACTAAATAGATAGTAATCTTCACGTCAGGTCCCTGCGATCGAGTATGTCATTGGCATCTGATGGGCTGAAATGGGCCTCCCTATGATCGAGTATGTCATTGATCAAACTGGGCTTTAGGGACTTCGCCTTGCGATCGAGTGGTCTGAAGTGAAGACGAGACAGAATGGTCTAGCGACCTTGCGATCGAGTGGATGTCATTAGGTGGCGATCGAGTGATTTTGTCGGCTTCTCTTCTCTTCTGAACTCTTAACTTGTCTAGTTAAGTACAGGACGAGTAGAATGGCCTCCGAGTGATCGAGTGGTTTGATGGGTGATTCCTCCGGCTTTGTGATTGAGTAAAACTGAGCTTCTAGCTTCTTCGTGGTTGTGATAGAGTGATTTGCCCTGGCAGGGCTCCGAGGTTGCGATCGAGTACTTTGGCTGAAGGCGTCATTGGGCATTCTGACTTTCTGTTCTGTTTCTCCTCTGTTTGAACTCCAAAAGCATCCAATGTACCTGAAAACAGCCAAATATGTAATGCACATGCAATCCTAATGCAAAACTATCCTAAGTGTGCAAAACACACTAAAATGACTCCTAATGAGATGAAATGTGGATGAAACAATGACAAAGTGGTGAAGAATGAATGTCTAAATCATTCAAATTATAGACATATCAGCCGAGAAGAAGAGACATATGATATGAATGTTCTTAACGCAAAAATCAAAGAGATATTTAAGAAGGAAAAACGATAACAAGTAGTATTCTAATTGGTGATTCACGTCTACGCTACCTAAAACCCTCCATTTATACAGAGGAGGGAACTTGGTCACCAAGTTACATAATTTTTAAATATTTGATATTTTTCCTCTATTGGTTCTAATCTCATTCACTTCATAATTTTTAAATATGAATATTTTCCTCTATTGGTTTTTCAGAGTCAGTCTCAATATGTTTAAGGAAGAGTTTTTTTTTTCCCTAAAATGTTGCCTTTCATTATCACCCAATGTTCTAAAACTCGTGCTACGCGGTCGTCTAGGCGCCGAGGAAGCAGTGGAGGAAGGTGAGCCGCCGCGATTTGGTGGTAATCGCTACAAAAATCGGCCGGAAAAAAAATCCACCTAAATATTTGTTTTTTAGTTAGAAATCTCTAAATTATTGATAGATCTGTAATATTTTGTTTTTTTTATCCCTATCAATTATCTCTAAACTATAAAATAAATGTAGATTCAGCTATTAGAACCCGGGTGTAGACAAAAATTACACATGACTTATCCATTTTGCCACTCGAACTTCGACAAATCTTATAGACTATTGTAGTATATAACCTATTTAATGATAGAAGTTATGTATATCCCCTTAATTTTTTGTAATGCCTAGTCTCCGATTAATCCCTGCCTCGACCGTCTAAGTGCTAGGCGCTAGTACACCGCCTAAGTAGCGCCTAGCGATTTTTAGAACATTGTTATCACCACTGTGTTCTTACAAAAAGTGTAACAGTGGACTTACCACTTACAATCTTAAGGCAAACAGAACAAAACATTGTTCCTTAGAAATTTAAACTGAAACAACAAACATCAATCTTAACCAAGCCAAGGGTATGTCCTAACCAAAAATCATAACCAAACTATTTGGTGTTATTCAAGCATTGAAGCTGCGAACCTTGTTCCTCAGCAGTCTTCAACAAAAAGTGATGACAAAATTCTTGTTAGAGTGACAATCTTTTCTTTGGAGGTTTCAGAATCCCTCCCATTCTTGGAGCACCTTGTTGATGAGTCTGAAGTCGTGGATCCCCTAACTCTCTTCTAACTTCTCCATCTTCATGCCTTCTTGATAATTGGCCCACTTCATAGACTCTGCTAGTACCGGATAAGTTTGCAGCCTCTCTTGGTGGAGTGTTGCTAGAGTTGGAATACCTTTGTTGTCTTGCAATATTAGCCTCTCTACCATACCTGTTATGAACATCTCTAGCTGTGGCGAAGTATGGAATTGCAGGTGCCAATTCTTCATGATTCAGCGGAGGAGGAGCTACTCTTGGAGGTGGTGTCACTGGAGCTGGAAACGAAGTCTCAGTCATCTGAGACTGAGAATTCAAACTTGATCTGAGAACACTATCTCTGAAGGCAGCCCTTGCTCTTGCTATGCTGTGAGGACATTGACGATAGGGATAATAGTCCTTGTTATGAGTAAACCGGAAACAGCTGCTACATATTCTTTTGAGCTTTTCATACTGAAATTTGATGATTGTCGTGCCACCAGAATCGAAGATGATCCTTTGGAAAAACCTGAGTCTGTCTGTGATACCAAAATGAACCCTTACTCTAATATAGGCTATTTGAGTTTAATTAAGAGTTAGGTATGAGACTTCATACATCTAACTTATTGGTATGAGATGAAATTTTTGTGCCTTGGCTTTTTATGTTCATTGTCAAGAGTGTTTCTTTGCTTGTATTTCAGATTAGACCGAAACGACCCATTTATATTACCAGTTGTCGAGAGAATCTAATTAGACATGGTAACCAGAGTAAATCAAAAGTAATCTCATCTCCATATAAGCTGAAACTCTCGCATCATACAACAAACTGGCCCAAATGTGTCTGTCTGCAACAATAGCATTCTTCTTCAAGGTCTCTTTTACTCTTTATTGAATAAATAAATACAGAAAACACAAACCCAGAAATTATTGAAGCATACAATAGCCAGATTCTCCAGGATAAATAATGAACAGATGTGTCTTGGAATGTGTAGAATCGAAAGAAAAGAAGCATATGCAGGAGTTGGGAGCACGGTTTGTTTTGGACAGGGGAAAAAAGGAAACACAATCTGTGTGTTTTGGTTGCATTTCATTATACTGAAAGAAACAGGGAAGAGTCCCATCAAGCTTGCAAGAAGCTAGCGTACTTGGCACCCAGGAGAAGCCTCTGAATGCACAAGATAGCGTTCTTGGTCACCTCAGCGTTCTCGTGGTTTATCAGCTTCATCACTCGCTCTTTTGCCTTGAGGTCTGCTACAATCACTCTCCCCGCTGCATGGTATTGTATGAACTGTGAGATATCAAAGCATGCCACCGCCAATGATCTGGGATCACTTGAGGTGTCCAGGATTGTGAGGAGGACCCTGAGTATCTGCGTCCACAAGTTTAACAAGTGGTTAGGGTTGTTGTCTAAGGCCAAAAAGGATTGAACCAGCCCGCTCTAAAAGCACTACAAGTGTGGGTGTTGAGCAGAGAGGAATTAAACAAGAATACCTGGAAGTCGTTCTCCTCAAAGCATGTGACATTCTCACGCCAGAAATTGGTCTCCTTGTGCATTGGGTTCCAGTCAAGATGGCCAAGGAGCACCTCTTGCTTATATTTATCAAAGGAACTCAATTTCTTGATCTTGTCTTTTAGCCCTTCTTCTAGTTGGTTCAGTGCATCCAGCAAGTCCTTACAAGTTCAGAATTTAAGGGTTTTAACTATCACCGTAATACAAAAACACATCTAATGTTACCGGCATCACTTATATCACCAGATTTAGCAGAAAATTAAGAAATTCAGGTTCCACATAACAACTAACAAGCATTTAAGTTGTCTTACCTCGTCACTCCATGCTTGTGTTTTTAGACTGTGGATAATATGTGGGAGTCCAAGATCAACCATCTGGGCACCAAATGTACCTTTTGGAAGAAGGTTCCTGAATGTCAATATGACCACCCTGACAACCTGTAAGATAAGATATCGTCAAATAAACATAATAAGTGCATCACACCGCATTTATCCAAATTAATTATTCAAAACGAATAAAAGAAACAAAAATCTTGGTATTGTGGGACAGAGATTCTGATTGATCAACCAAACTATGTCATATGATCTTTAACTAATTGCAGGACAGCGAT